TATGGATTGTGATAAGAGTTGTATGAGCCTCTAATAAAACGATTAAAAAAAGACAAAAAAAAAAAGAAAGAAAGCCCAAATCCTCACAACTGGACCAATAAATAGTCAGTATCTTTGTAACCAGAGAAAAGATGGACGTTTTCAAGGAGTTCTTCTTACTTGGCTACACAATCAATTCTCAAGGAAACAGCAGTCAAGAAATCAAACTCAAACCCACTGCCAAGCTGTTGATTCTGACTCATAGCAGGCCTCTATAAAGCACAGTAGAACTGCTCCTTAGGGTCTCTGAAATTGTAGATCTTTAAGGAAGCAGACAGCCTCATCTTCTCCAGCAGTGTGGGTTTATTAAGCTATTGACTGTGCTGTTAGCAACCCAGTGCTTAATCCATTGCATCATCAGAACTCCTCTGAGTCTAATCAGAGTCTTAATGTATACCATCTCATGTGGCATCCAATAGCCTTGTATTGTACTTGGAAAAACCCCAAACAAACCCTCCAAACCAACTTACGTCCATCAAGTGAATTCTGACGAATAGTGACCCTATAGGACGTGGTAGAAATGCCCATGTGAGTTTCTGAGACTGTAACTCTTTACAGGAGTAGGAAGCCATGTCTTTCTCCTCTGAGCTGCCTGCTGGTTTTGAACTGCTGACCTTGCAGTTACTAGCCCAACTCGTAACCACTATGCCACCAGGGCTCCTCTGTACTGTACTTAAGATGAAAATGAAATAAAACAGCTTCCTTACCTTAGCTTCTATAACTCCATGAGCTCAGCTGTTTCCTATCTTTCTGGTCCATCTCATACTTTTCTCCCCCTTTCTCCAACCACACTGGCCTTCTTTACATATCCTTTTAATCTGCACAGTTCATTCTTTTTGCAAATGTTTTAATTTAATAATGGAGGAAGATATGTTCAATCCCACTAGCCATTGTGTGGGAGAAAGATGTGGCACTTTGTTTCTGTAATGTGTGTGGCCTTGGAAACACATGGGTTAGCTCTACTCTATAGAGTGGCTCGGAATTGGAATTGGACGTGGTGGGTTTGGTTCTCGTTTTGTGGGTAACACTGAACTTAGTGCTCCCAGGTTACTAATTTGGGATCTCAAAAACAGTTAATCGACAGATAGTTGGCCAGAAAGCTCAATACATGTAATAACTCAACTTCTTGGTCAGACAAAAACAAACAAAAAATCAACCCAAACTCAGTGGCATCGAGCCCATGCCAACTCATAGCAACCTTATAGGATAGAACAGAATTGTCCCTGTGAATTTCTGCAACCATAACTGTTCATGGGATTAGAAAACCCTGTCTTTCTACCATGGCTGGTGGTTTGCAGCAGAACAAACAACACGTAGCCCATTATGCCACCAGGGCTCCTAGAGCCCTTATAGTGCCATCTAAAAATGGCCACCCTGGGAAAGCAGTGAGTCCACTTTTACCAGTTCAACATCCTTTCCTCCAGCTCCTTTAGAAGATCCCGGTTGAGTTCATACAGCTGAGGCAGGTAGTATAGGATCTGATTCAGGATTCGGTCCTCAATCACTGGTTTCCCAAGTAGCCTGGAAGCATGGGTTACTGCATCCCGGAAATCCTATTAAGAGTTCAGAAAATGAAAAACAACTTAACTGGACACAAAGGGTTCTTTCCCTTAAACAACACAAACTGTAAGGCTGTGTTTCCCACATGGAATTACATACCAAGTGTGCCAATTTCCTCCTGTTCTAGTCACATATAGAAGAAAAATTAAAAAACAACAAGCTCACAGCAGACTGAAGTATTTTGCTTAGACCATTTGTTTGAGTTCCAACTTTAGCAATTACTTTGAGAGAGTACCTGGAAACTGTATCACAACTATATACAGCAGAAGAGCAAAATCCACTCACTGTAAAAGTCCACGCGAAACTTTGCCTGATTTTATGCTGGATGTAAGAGTTAAAATCGACTCCACAGCAGAGAGTTTGGTTGTGGTTTTGCACATTAAGTAACCATTTCGCAGGAACTCAAGTGATGTCAGCTGAGTTGCGTTAGTAATCAGAGTCCAGACACCAAGCCCTTACTTACTGGCTGTGTTTCCCTAACCTGAGTTCATTTCCCTCACCTGCAAAGCTGGTACCATTGTAGTCATAGCAGCTCTTAGAGGGCTTGATGAGGCTCAAATTAAGTATTTCACATTCAGCTTTTTTTTGGCCAAGTGTTCAGTAAACAGACTCAATCATTATGTTTTAACTCTGGCATTTAATCTCTACCACCACCACCCCTGCTCCACTCCAGCCTCCCCAGTAGGATTTACATTTTTGTCAAATAAACTTTCTTTCACACATTCTTTCCTTTTCATGTATTGCTCTTTCTTTATCTCCTTTTTAAAGCAGGGCTTGAAGCGGGAAAGGAGGACTTGGAAAGGGCTGGGAAAGAGATCACGGTTTGTGTTTATTTCACTATCGCCAGAGACCGGGTCAAAAGATATAAATAAAACAATAGTGGGATCTGTCCCATAGGATTGGAAACCCTTATCTTTATTTCCACAAGTGCCCAACTCTATGCATGGGGTTGTCAGTAACTGGGATGCTAACCACAACCATGTTGACATAAAGATGCTTCTCCTTCAGAGATTCACTGAGCAAAACCAATCCAATCCAAATCATGATGTCTCCCTGTAGCTTCAGCAGCGGCCCCTCCCATAACTAAAAAATATATAAATTATTTCTCTCCTGATGGATGGCTATTTTAAACATGTCAAACTGTTAAGTTTACAAATGCTAAAAAACAACAACAAAAACTCTTCCCGTAGACCACAGTGCCTGGGATTAGCTTTATTGGTTCAATCTTCATATTAACCCCAAGGAACCAATTAGTTCCACATATAACTAAAAAAAACACAGACTTGTACAACTAATTAGGGTACTAAAAATAAAATATGAATGTGTACATTTTCATTGTAAGTTCCCATCTAAAAAGCCACACAAAACAGCTCCAGAAACCAAATGGCTGGTTGGCTAAATTCCACCTCCAACAGCTTGCTTTTATCAGCGTTCACATTTACTAAGAGAAAATAGAGCTCTTTATCATATTTGAAAGTCATTAGGTTTTCTGCTATCAGGCAGAGCTAGGGAATCACAAATAACTCCCCCTGGTTGTAAACATATTCAAAGCACAGCAGCTAAACCTCTTCCAGAGCAATGCTTTCAAAGCCAGCTCAGTGCTGAACAAAACTTAGCCGCAAGGGCTACTTGCTTAGCAAAACCATAAGCATTGCCCTTTCTGTTTGCAGACTAAAGGATGGATATGTTTGTCCTTTGGCAGCAGATGTACTTTTGTTTTCCAGTTGGAAGGTACTTCCTCAGTTATGACAGCGAGCTGCTAGCGAACTTAAGGACCTTGTGTGACACAGCTATTGCCAGACACAACATTCAGCCTGTCTGCCAACATTGCCAAAAAAGAAACTTGTTTATTTAAGACACATTCAACAGAGACTAGTCAAATTCAGTCTGGGCTGACCAGTGAGAAGCCTGTCTCTAATTGGAGGCATCTATCCCATCCCAGGAGGAATTCTATCTTTCCATTAGAACTGGATGGTTATAGAAAGCTCTGGATGAATTAATGGCCCATATTGTCATTTTTAAAATTCTGAGTAGCACTTCAGAATAAATTGAAAGAACAAAAGAGCAGTCAATAAAGGCTAAAGAATTTAGAAAGTCCAAATCCAAAATTATTTCTAGGACTCACTAAGGAGACCTGCTAGCTCTGTGGCTTAGGCTTTGGACTGCTAAACTCAAGATCAGTGGTTAAAACCCACCAGTCACTCCTTGGTAGAAAAATGAGGCGGTTTACTCCCATAAAGACTTATAGTCTCAGAAACCATCTCTAACAGTGTTCCCCAGAGTGGGTGAGACTACTACTTGGGAAACAATGAGAGGATCCAAGGGAGCTCCAAGAGCAGATATCTATACACTATCCTGGATTATGGGCTGTAGGACAAAAGTTCTTAATTGCCAGCGGTGGGAGAGGGTACTGAATAAAATCTTTTTTTTTTTTTCCTGGAAAGGGAGGAGTTCCCAAATAAATTTGGGGACCTATGACTAATGGGGTCACTTTAAGTCTGAATGGCAGAATTACTATCATAGTGTGTGTGTGTGTGTATACACAAACAAGCACACTTCTCTTATACAGTAGATTAGGTGAGAGTTTGCATTTCAGATCATTTACATTGTCCTCAACAATTTAAACTACCAATCAAATCCCCTAATAGTTTGCCCCTTTCTGCTCTTTGATTTCTCCTCTCTTGAGTGGACAGCTATCCTTCATCCAACTTGAACTAAGTTAACACCCACTTACCATCTAGTTCACTGCTTGATCTTCTTTCTCTTGCCCTCTCCCTTCCCCGTGATACATTTTTTAAAACAGAAATGGGCATCCTTTCTCCCAGGCAGATACAACTCATATCAAGCACCTGCCTGGCAACTCACAGCTTCCATAAGCACATGCAACATTGTCCTGAGCATACTATCCCACTTCTTCATGTTGGGCCACCAGTGCCTGAAAGCGCTGTGCTCTGGCCCCGGTACCGTGAACATGCTATCAGGAGACACCCGTCTTCGAGGTAGGACATCCTGCTTGGTAAAACGGAGGGGCAGCAAAAAGGAGGAAGGCCTTCGAGGAGATGGACTAACGCCGTGGCTGCAACAAGGGGCTCAAACCCAGCAACTATTGTGAGGCTGGTCCAGGACAGGGCGCTTGTTCATTCTGCTGTACGGAACCGACTCGATGGCACCTAACAGCAACACAGCCCAGGGCCAGATGTCCTTCATGCACGCAGGAACAACACACAGAATCACTAACTTCTCAGCTCTTCAGGAACCTCGGCCATTTCCAGCACTGCTGCCACTTGAAGGAGAAACTTTTTTTTGTTTGTTTTGTTTTAATAGAAGGGATGGTTGCAACATACGTCTGATTATTTTTCAAATTGTTAACAGCCAAGATAATTTTGGAAAGTGCAATGACACCTAAGAGCCAGAAGCAAAGCTATTTTTGTGCTAGCGAACCTAAATCCACCAATGCCTCCTTGACTAAATCAGCTGGGATGCAAGGCTAGCACTGCAGAAGCGGGAGCCAGAGCCTCCTTTTCACCCCGCAGAAGCTGAGGCTGAAAACTGAAAGGAGGAGGAGGCACAAGTGTGAAAATGTTAGACAGGCTACCAAGTCTACTGATACCAACTGTATCTTATATCTACTTCAGTATGTTCTGCTAACACAAAACCCACCTAAACTCCTACACTCTAGGTTGCAGTTATAAATTACTGAATGTCTATGCAATTTGAAATTTTTTGAAATACAAATGGGTCTCCAAAATAGAAATAAACCATATTATTGTTTTTATTTTCTTTTGAGGAGGTATTTTCATCTTAACTATTTTAACATTGTTTATTGTGAAGTAGGTTTACATTTCAGATCAATTTTTTATCAACAGTTTAAACAACTCATCGACCCCCCTGCCTACCCCACCCCATCCCACCAATAGTTTACTCATCACCCACTCCTTGATTTCTCTCCCCCCTCGTATGGACTCCTTACGAGGAGTCTTCCACTGTACTCTCTTCCACTGTACTCAAGCTCACACCTGTCAACAGCCTAGATCATCTCTCTTGTCCCGTAATATTATTCTTAATAATTCCCAGAAATCCTAGAAATAAGAATGAGATCGAGTTTGTTAAACACTACAATCCTTTGAGGCATTAACCAACTAGTCTTGCCAGCTCTGCTCACACAGGCAAAACCTAAGGGAACATCGATGCAAATAAAATAGTCTGACGATGGGAGGCAATGAAGCACAAAACAGATGGCTTTGTTCACCAGGTCAGGCTTTACATGTCCAGTGACAAAGAGGAGTATGTGACTTAATTACCAGCTGTCTTGCCTGGGCTTCCTGACCTCCGGGCGTTACTTAACCAGGATCAAGACACAGCAACTTACAAAGACCAGTGGCCATATGGACAGATAAGGAGCTTTGCAGGACTCCCTGCCTCCTGGAAGGGCATTCAGAATCACTTCCTATTAAGCAAAAGCAAAGCAGCTGCTGAGGTCAAAGTACCATGATAAATATGGAAAAGTGAGTGTGAAACTATGAAAGGGAAAGTCCTATGCTAACAATTGGGCTTGGTTTTAAAAGGAAAACATTTCCCCAATTAAATGATTCTTGCCTTGCTCAGACCTGATGAAATTTTGCATGGACATCAGTGCTACCACTGTACCAGACATGATAGAAACCAACTATTTATCACAAGTATCCAACACTGTTTAATAACATGACAGATATCTCTGGTTTCCTGGGCAACTGACAGAATTCTAAAAAGAAACTTTTAACATGAAAGGGCTTCAGAACGTTCCATGGAAAAATGGAGTAGGAAGACATTGGGATTTTTCCAACAAAACTTTCTGAATCCCCCTCATATACCCAGAGATACATGATCTTCTAAAACACAGGAATTACATCTACTTGATAGTGCTGTGATGAGAATTAAAAGAGCTAATTTAGATAACTCAATTTGCATGCTGCAAGACACAGAGTACTCAATGGAAGGCCATTTATTTGATTAA